CTTTATTATTATTATTAGGAAAGCTCAGATTTTCATTCTGGGCATGAAGAGGTAAAATTTGTTCTAAACCATGACAATGCCGAAGGACTACCGAAACATTCCTTCAATAACATAGAGGCTGTCGGCCAAGGGCGTGCGGGTAAATTTTCTCTCCTGCTAGAATTTTTTTCTTTTTAGCTTCTGCATGTGTGAAAATGGAAGAAAAAGACAAGAAAACAAAGAAAATAGAATACTGATGGTGTGCTATGCTTTCATATATATTGATATTTGAATTTTTTTTGGTTAACCATGATTAATTTTGAAATAGTTAATTTGGTCAGTTTTTAGTGGGATTTTAAGTTCGTATTAGAGTTATATTTAAAATAAAATGATTAAAATTGATTTGATGTAAAAGTAAGAGATAAATGGTTGGAAGTGATAGGTATTTAAAATTATGTGAGTGAATGAATAGTAAATTAAAGTTGATGTGATGTGTAAGGATAATTGATTAATATTATTTAATTATATTGATAATATTGAAAATAGTATGGTTGAGTTAGATTTTCAGTTGAAATTGATTTATTTTTTATTTTTTTATTTTTTTGGGTTTTTTTTGTAAACAAGCAAGCCCAGAGAATTCTCTAAATCATAAAGTTCTACATCACCTCGCAGGCAAAAATGCTTATGCAGTGTCAATCTTAAGGCGAGTCGAGATGAAACTTGACGGGCGAGATATCACCGACAACAGGCATGCATATATTTCCATTTTAATGCATTTGTACAAAAGAAGTGAAAAAAAAAAAAAAAGGAACAATCTGTATCAATGAATTTCGTATCTGACTCGTGAAAACTGTTTGACCTACTTTCATATCTCAGGGAAATAAGTATTGGGGAGCAAGTTGATTTTCTGCTCAGGCAAGCTACAAACATAGACAATCTATGCAACATGTACGAAGGTTGGACACCTTGGATTTAAAAATCCCACATCGAAGAAACTTTTTCAAAACACACGCCCTACATGACTGAGATATGCCTTCATGTTGGAAGAGGCGAATCTTGACAATATTCCACGGCCTGCTCGTTGGATTTTTTAATCCCTAAAGAGGCTCATCAAATGAATCACAAAATTCAGGTCAGTGTTGCTTTTGCCAGTGGTCGATTGCGAAAAATAGTCTGGCGGGTGACTGGAGCTATCGGATTTGAAGCGGTCGAACAATTATTCTTCAGAATTGGACATGTGGCAGCAGCATCTGGTTGGCCGGCCGGTTGAATGTAGTACGACTTGGATGGTACACCCAGTTGGTTCAACATTCTTGAGTCGCCTTTTTGTTTGTGCGTAAACGAGATTTGTCGTCATATCGTACGAAATTATTACTCTTACAATGCTCCCCGTTATTCAATTTTTTCGCCAAAGGTAGAAGGAATACTGCTCTTGGAGTTTTGGATCACTCGAGTTATTAGTGATTTGTTAATGAATTCGTTTAAAGTAATAAATGTAGATAATAAGGTGCAGAATTATACTTACTAGTATCGTGGCCCTTGCAAATACACGGAACTATTAAAAATAAATGAAATAAGAAAACATAAATAGAGTAAATAATTTTTATATGCAATTAACAAAGACTACTATATACAATGTTTATATTTGTATATTTTATTTCTCATTACATATCAGTATTTTGTGTCTTTTTATTTGTAACTCGAGAAGCAACAATGTAAAGTTCAGAATTAAAAGCCTAAAAGTATATATATATATATATATATATATAT